ATGATGATGATGATGATGATGATGATGATGATAATATACAGGAAATATTAACGTTAATTAGGACTTTATTTCAAATATACAATTTTGTTATATTAACACCTGTATAAAATTTTCAACTAACGATAATAAACTGATGTACCGTATTTTTGTTAATTGATATATTTACGATTACAAAATTAATTGACTTAGCTTAAATACCTGGATCTAAATCTTTCATCTCAAAAGATAATTTATATTAAATCAGGATCATAAAAATATATTTTGATAAATTATATTAAAATACTTGATAAAATATAACCCTGGAATTGAATTATATTTTTTTCTATCACGGTATATAGGAATGAACAATCAGCTAATAAACAATTAAGCTGATTAAATTTCTTTCCAATAATGTTCCCATAGTTTGGCATTTAGATTCTGAATATTTTTGTCATTAGATTATCTTCTTCTTGCTGCATTGTAGATTTTTAAGAATATTATATATTTTTAAAATACTTTTCCAATTTCTTTATTGAAATCTGATTTAAAGGAAATTTTAAGAAATGTACATTTTAGCAATGTAAATCAGGTACATAGAATGCAACAAGAAAAGGATATTATAATAATGTACAATTGTATCTTGTTTAATAATCTGTCATATCTATATTAATTAAACTAATTAATGTACTTAAAGGATGACATATGTATATATACATATAAGTAATAAATTGAATTATTGAAGAAATAACATTTTTGAATATGAAAAAACATTTTTATGTAAATTACTACATTTATAGGATATCTTAAAAACTAATAAAACTTTTTTTGTCTTGTATCAATCAATTTTTTATACATATGTATATATGTAAAATACATATTTGTATCTCCTAATATTATAAAAAATTGACTTTAAATTATTTAAAATAATTGCGAAACAAATTTCAATTCTCTATTGTTAAAAAAAAATTGTTTCATAACATATTTTTGCATGATTATATGTTCAGCTATAAGCACATATGAGTTCACATGAACCAATTTGTTAAAATTGACAAGTTATATGCAATTAAATGCAGGTACTTTTCTTTTTGTAAGGTGCTCATTTTAATATTTACCTATTTAAAAAAGTCTCTTTTCATATGAGAAAAGACTATGAACATTTCCCTCTTGTTGAGCAGAATGTGTTCTTCTTTCAAACTTTAATTCTCCACTATACATCATAGATCTTAACGTAGAAATAGATTTTGCTCCAATATCTTGACAGCCATGCTTAATACCACACAACAAATAGGGTAAGAACTTTAAAACAGATCCTTTGTCAACTATTGAACCACTAACACCTTGAGCTACTTTCAACTTATCCATCTCATTATGAAAGTACCTATCCATTGCTGAACCATGAGCATCTTTTCTATTCATAGCTTCTAAAGAGCCCATGCCTCTATATTTCTTTAGACGTACACCATCACTAAAAAAATATTCACCTGGTGCCTCTGAGGTACCAGCCAATAAAGATCCCATCATTACTGTGCTAGCACCTAAACTTAAACCTTTAATTATGTGTCCAATAGATTGAATACCACCATCAGCTATAACAGGCACACCAAATTTTCTTGCATATTCTGCAACTTTATATACAGCAGTTGCTTGAGGTCTTCCCACAGCCATAACTTCTTGGGTAATACAGATTGATCCACAACCCATCCCAACTCTCAAAGCATCAGCTCCAGCTTCTATAAGATTTTTAGCTTGCATAGTTGTTACAACATTTCCTGCAATTACTTGTAATTCTGGATATTCTGATTTGATGTATTTAATCATATCAATCTGATATTTAGAATTGCCTTGAGAAGAATCTAAAACAATAACATCCACACCAGCTATAGCAAGATGTTGCAATCTTTGTTTATCATTATTGCGTGTACCAATAGCAGCACCAACTAACAATTGTTTATTCTCATCTTTACTGGCATTTGGATAACTACGATTTTTTTTCAAATCAGTTCTTGCCATTAAAGATACTAATTCTCCTTTTTCATTGATTATTGGAAGTTTTCCTTTTTTAGATTTCTCAAGAATTATATTTGCCTCTTGCAATGTTACACCAGCAGTTGCAGTGATCAAATTCTCTAATTTTGTCATTATTGTTTCTAATTTTATATATTGTTGATTCGTTGTACTTTCCAAAAAGTCAATGTCTCTAGATGTTACAATCCCTAATAGTTTACCTCCAACTTTTCCTGTGTTTGTAATAGGAACACCAGAAAAGCCATGTTCAGCTTTTACATTTAGGACATCCTTGACTGTGTGATTAGGTGATAGAACTACTGGATCCCTAATGAAGCCATGTTTATATTTCTTGACCTAGAATCATAAAAATTCAGAAATTCAAAAATCTCTTTCTATTACTTTTACCTTTTTAGCTCCTATTATTTTTCTGTTTTTAATACAACAATTAATTAGAAGCATAAATAAAATTAATATGTCTAATTCAATAAAGCAGAAAAAATCTCTCCTACAAAGCTTCTTTAATAATCATTTATTCCAATAGGAAATGAATATTTACTGTTGATTTATATATTGTTGTCATTGAATATTAACGACATCGAATAAAAAATGTCACAGATGTGTTACGAGATAAAATCTGTATTCTTTCTATATGAATAGCAAATGAGCGAAATCGTAAGCATGATAAAACCTTCGCAGTTATTCTAGACATGCGGAAATGTTTAGATCAAAAAGAGCATACATACTTTGTGTACCTCGTTGGCTTGATATTCGGGCGTGCAATTGTGATGTATTATGCCAATTCCTCCACATAGAGCCATAGCAATAGCCATGTCGGATTCTGTAACTGTATCCATGGGAGATGATACCAGCGGTGCTTTAATGTTGATCTTCTTTGTCAATGGCGATAATAAATCAACCTCGTCAGCGGTAAAATCAACGTAACCGGGTAAAATAATAAAATCATTGTAGGTAAGACCGTCGCCGGTAGTGAATAATTGTGATGCTGAAAGTCCATCGTCCGGTAGGGGTATATCTGCCGGTTTTGTGTCACCGATCACATAGTCTGCCATCGTTTTTTTTTACAAATCGACGATTATTCGTATTTTTTCTACCGTAGAAGATAATTTCAACCTTAAATAATATTATAAACTACCGTATGATGAGATGATATGTACACGTTTTCACAATACCGATGTTAAAAATTGCAGGTCTCTCCCTATACCTCGAACCGGAGATCTCCAGGCAAAATGACCGAAATTAACGTGCGCACAGTACATTTGTAGCTCGAAACGGGTTACGACTTAAGTGTGTTTCCCACTTTTGTCTACTGATGACAGTACCATCGTCAACGATGTTTTACGTCGAAATGACCGACAGTAATGCCACATTCTCATCAATTTTTAAAAATAATTTTGATTTCGTCAAGATATCTTCATCTGATTTGTACAGGAACAAAGATATTCGGGATTTTCTAAAAATTTCCTCTAATAATTTCAGTGACATAAGATTCAGATCCGTGGTCAATTGACGAAGTACTATTATAGTTTGTCATCCATTTCAATTTGAATATTTCGCGCTTTATTTTGTCATAAATATGAATAAGTTGATAATTAGAAAAAATATATTGATAATGTAGAGAAAAAAATTTACAAAGATAAGTAATCTAATGAAATTTTAATTGTAAATATACATATATAAATAGCGAAACATTTACAGAGAGAATTAATTATAAAAATATTTGTTTAGTATAAAAATAAATAGCAATTAATAGGTAAAGAGCGAACTATAATAAAATATTTTTTAACTTGCACACGTTGTTGTTTTAACTTGTGGTGATCGTCGTTAATTTTATGCGATATTGGTGCATTTCTTACATGCATGCTAGAAATCGTATAAAATTATGTAAAATTTAATACCATTTTTTTATTCATTTAACATTAACAAATATCATAACTTCGTTTGTAATCTTACTGGATAGAAAAAAATTTGTTTCACACCGTTGAATATATCACCAAATGCTTCTTTAAATGAGGATAAAATATATTCTATTACGAGTTCCAAGTAACTTAAATTTTCATAGTCATCGTATTCTTCGTAATAAAAGTAATCATACAACATTGGTAAAAATATTATTAAAATATACATCATACCACCAAAAAAAACTAAAAATTTTAAAAGATTACGTATAATAGATTAATTAATAAAGATCGATAAATCAAAATTTTTAAATAAAATAAATATTTACTGATGGATTTGAGTTCTAAAAATTGTTTATCGTTTGTTTTATCCGCATTACATTTTATTTTATTAAGTTCGGATTCATCATTTGCCAAGTGAGAAATCTTCTTTGTATTAGAATTATTTTGCGCATCTACTATATGATATGACGACGTTTTCATGTTGTCATTTATATATAACTGTTTTGTTTGCATATTTGATTTAAGATTCGAGTCTCTGAATAGTTACAGAAAATAAATTATAATTCTGTTAAGTTGTATACATAAATGAATTATCTTTCATACAACTTACAATGCTTGATTAATCATAGTGGAAAGAACTGTACATTGTTGTAACGTTTGAATTTCAGGGTTTATTTTTAATTGATTTCTTAATTCCTTATCATGTATTTTATTTACTTTTCCTTGTTTTCCTTTTTCAGCTGCATCCATTGTCAAATTATATGGATACTGCTGCTCAATGCTGCTTGTATTCTGTATTTTGTGCCTCAATCTGTTGTAATACTCCCAGTAACTTTTATTTAATAATTCTTGGGTTTTTGATGAAATTCCTTTTGATCTTTCAAATATATCATTTAATCTTGGAGATTTGCAATATTCTTTTTGCAAATCTGTTTTTGATAAACTATTAGTAATTTCTTGTCTTAAATCTATATGTTTATTGTTTTGCAAATAATTCTGTTCAATAGAATTTGACACATTATCAATTTGTATATTCATGCTTCGTTTGTGTATAGAAGCAGGATGAAAATATTGACTACTTTTTCTTGTTTTACGGTTACACAATTTATGAATATTTGTACGATTACGTTTGTATTTGTTATATTGACAATTAGGCCAAACTAAAGTATAATCAGAATCTACCAGTGCTGAATGAGAATTCTTTTGAAAGTATGATCTAGCTTTCCTAGAAAATTTTGCTGATGCTTTTTTTTGTTTAAGTGTAATATATGGTTCTGAATTGTGACAAAGTTTTCTGGTACATTCACTTTTTGTAGAAAGTAAATATTGCTCGGATTTATTTTTATCTTTTGTTTCATAAATACCTATTTTATAATTTCGATATAAAGATTGATCCTGATCAGTAACAGTTACATTAGATTGAGGTACTGGCTGATGATATTCATTATTTTTTGATAAATAATTTATTTCATTATGACTTTGGTCTGAGGTTTTGATATTATGCACAGCATCAGTATTGATATTGTTAATTTCCTTTGGAATGGATTCATTCGTATCAATGAATTTTTTGTTAAGTACAATGTCCTTTGTAATTACTTCAGAATCCATTGTTTCTTCACCACTTGTATTACATGTTATTTTTTTCATTTTTAGACATTGGAAAACATTATTACGTACATCTTTTTTATTTATATTGGGAATGTAATATTCTGAATCACTAGATTCTTGTTGCTTTTGCTGAATATTTGAATCTGGTAATTTTTCAGAAACAGTTAAATTTTCTGAGAAATTTGGTTCCAAGCAACGTTTCCTATTTTGTTCAAGTATATTATTTTGTGTCATCAATGCATTTTTCTTCTCATGGATATTCTTTCCAGCGTCTGCAAAACTATAATTTTAATAAATGGAAAATAATGTCATTAAAATAATATTTGCTGAATTATTACTGGTAAACAAGTTTTTATTCTGTGCTTGGTTTGAATGAATGTGTTGTTCAGATTCTCTTTTTACTAAAGTTTTGGTTTCGTTTTTGTATTCTGAATGATGTAAACATTGCTGTATTATATTACTTGGTCCTGTAGTAGATACTTGCAATGGTACACTTTGATAAGTAAGAACTGGAAGTTGTACATTATAGCACTGATTCATATATTCTTGAGGAACAGTGATTGTATCAAATTGTATTGCATTAAGAGGACGTTTTTTGTCTAACACAAATAACAACTGTCCATTATTTTCCTAAATACATTAAAACAATACAGAAACTTATTCTATTCTTTATATTTTTAATAAAAATATAATTATAAAATATTAGAGCATATACTTGCACTGGCAAACAAGTAATGTCCACCTGAGTATTAGCGTCATTAACTGTTGATTTTGATATATGCTCAGAAGAACATACGTTTTTTATATGTTCTGTAATTTCTTTTTTATTGTCGATTTCTGAAACATAATCTTGTCTTTTCAATTCTGAGTTATTTATGGTTTGTTCTAAAAATAATTTTTTATCGTTGTAAAACATACTATTTTCCTTATAATTTTGCGTTGATTCAATTTTTTTTTCTTTATGAGGTTGTTGTGCCTGTTCTATTTTGATTTGTTGCCTATTAAAATTGTAGGTAATTATAAAAGTATTGAGAATGTAATACAGTATACTTTTAATTAAAGTCAATATTTACTTTTCAGATATTAATTTTTCCATTTCTTCTCTATGCAAATGTTCTGCAAAAGTAGTAATATTAGATTGATCCATTTTTTTCTGTAATGATTCAGTTGATGTAACTTGATTCTTCTTAATATTTGTCACTCTGTTTAAAAAGATTTAAGCTTCTTTTTATATTGATCTTAACTTTTATCTATTTTCTATTTTTATTTTTTATGAATGAAATACTTTTTAAAACGGGGATCAATGTAACCAGGAAATCTTCTTAAAGTGTATGTATTTGAATCAATTTTTTGATGATGAAAAGAAGAATATGCACTATCTTTAGTTATTGAAGATTTAGGAGATCTGTATTTTCAAATATATAGATTTATAGTTTTACTAATGTAGATTACGCAAAGTTTTGAAACATTTAAATTTAATACTTACTCATTTAAAGGTGTTTGAATTACAGTACGACTCCTCCTAGGAGTTCCAGTTAATTTAACTATGTATGGGGGCCCAACAGTATCACCATCAGTTAATTTTCGTTGTGGTATTTTAGGCCAAGAAGGATCAGCTGGTATACTAAAAGAATTTAAAATAGGAAATATTTTTAAATAAAAAATAAACATTTAATTTGAATACTTACCGTAATGATCCAGCATTGTACTTTTGTGGAACTGGTAATAAATTTTCACTATTTACTAAGGAAATACACATTACTTAAATGCTATTGTAATTTGCAAAAAGTATTTTGGAAATCCTTACTTTTAATGTGTAATTGCAGAGCATTTGCATTATCCTGATATGCCATATTGAAGCAGTCGTACATTTCAATACTTTCTACTTTTTTCAAAACATTTGTAAAAATAATTCCTGAATTAATTATATAAATGATTAATATTAGAAGAAATACAAAAACTGTACAGGTTTAACATTAATTTCATGTTTCACAAAGTAATAGTTCTATAACTTCAAGTAGAATTATTTTTGTTTTCCTAGAGTCAAATGTTTTTTCTACATACAATTACAAAAAAAATTTGTACTGGAATAAATATCTTTATTTCTAATAAGAATCAATAGCTTTTTGTACAAAAAAAGTCAAAGGTATTATGATAATCAGTCGTTTTGTTTTATTAATGATAGATGTATTTATATAATATGTATATTATTCTAATCTTAATAGTAAAATATTGTATGTACAATAAATACAACTGTAGTAGATGCAGGAACAATTAACTATGATCTACATCAGTATCTTATAGCTTGATTTATATTACACTAAATTATAGTATATTTGCGCACCATAATAATTATATCACAATATCAAGCTAATTATACACTTATGTATGGACTTTTTAATATTTTGCTTACAAAATATTACAATTTATGATATAAGGAGTATAGTTCTTTGTTATGTATATATATGCATAGTGTATATGTGCAAATTTAAAATCTGTGTAAACAATATAATTCTTTTTTACAAGTTTTCCATTATTGAAACATAAAAAAGAAAATTGTATGCATTGTTTATTATGACATAGAAGTTATTAATATCGTTTTATAAACAAACCAACATAATTAATATATCAAAATATACATACGTCCATTTTTTATAAATAAATTGATCATAGGTGTTATGTTATGTGTAAAATATATTGTGATAAAGGAATGTATCACAATTATTTTGACTAGATTTAAAAAAGATGATAGAATTATTATAAAATATAAAAGATGTATGCCACAAAATGCATTGATGAATGTTCAACTTTCTCTAGCCATCATATTTAGTATTATCAAATTTGAAATTGGTCCAAAATCTAAATATAATTTCATTATAACGGTCTTACGTCATTTAAATTGCATAAATATCTCACTGGTGTTGTCTTAAAATTTAGGGCATACTTCATTTTAAATAAGTATGTACAAATATTTTATATGCACTGAGTTGTTTTGAAAATATGCAACAAAACATAAATTAATTTCTACAATTTTGATAATTTTTCTAAGTAGTTTCCAAATAATATTAAAAATAAAGAAATATTTAAAGAAATTATTGCAGTAATACTTTAGATAAAGCAATATTAATAACAAATATTATAATATAAATACTATCAATACTTATTACATAATAAAATAAGTACTCTTTTGTTTCTCAGACTTTTTTTAAACAGATGTATGTAAATTACCTTTAGGAAGATTGAGAAACTAAAGAGTGTACACAGCACTGATAGATCACTGTTGCAAATATAATTACATAATAGCTTAATGCTAGTGATGAAAACAATATCTTTAATATACTTATCATAATCTACATTATTATACTATTATTTTACATAAAACATCACAATCCATTTTCAATTCATGTATTACAATTTTTTTAAAAACCGTAGTGAATATAAAAGCTAAATATAACTTTTAATATTCTTAATTTTGTATGCATGGTAAAAAATATAAAAACTTTTTCAAAAAAAGAAATCAAATAAACAACTAATCAGCATAATAAACTTTTTTAAGAAATACGGACAAATATTTTTCTATTTGATTTTTATAAAATAGAAAAAAATAACATTCTCATAAGTTTTGTTTTTAAATAATATATACATATATATATTGAACAATGTGCAATTATTGTCTGGCAGTATTATAATATTCTGCACATGAATGGAATTTTTATGGCAAATTAATATAGCGACAGACATATTGTAGAAAAAAAAATTATGATTACTTCAGAATTTCATGCTTAATATTATGTAATTATGATTATTTCAGATTTCATGCTTAATATTATGTAATGCTTCGTGAAAATGCTTTATAATCAAATATGCATATATTATTCAGTTTAAATTATATACAGATCCTTTTATGAAAGGAGATATTTATATTGAGAAGACATATACAGAATATACTAATATTTTATGCATGTTGACGAAGCATTTGTTAGATGTAGAAATATACACAAAACACATTTGTTACATCTTTTTCATTATTGTCGAGTTAAGCTTCATGTTCACCGTTATTTATTCCTATCAGCGATTCTGTTTGTTCTGCTTCAAGATCTGGTATTCTAAAAATAAAGATTATTTTTTTAACTAAAACCAAATTTTATATGAATATATTTGATTTAAAGTAGAGTTATTGATCTTACCTTATTGATCTATTTTTTCTAAAAATCCAAATATAAATTCTTTTTATTAAATCCATAACTGGATCCCAATTATCATAATATGATAGAAGAGACACAGTAAGAAATGCTAATAGCATTGGAATGGTTCCTAGATAGAAAATACAAGGATACTCAACTTTTTTTAATAAGACATCAGCTATCATCGACATCGGCATGAGTAAACTGACTGCCAAGGTTGCAATAAGGGATGATGTTAAAAAACAACCCCTACAAATAAATATAAAATAGATATTAAACATATTAAATCAGAAGTTAAACTTGATATTTTTTATTAACATACCACAACCAAAGCACTTGGCTTAAAACTGTACCAATCAAACCATTAATGATTAAATATGTCCATTGATGAGTATCTGGCCATTCAAATTCTTCCCAATGACCATAATGAAGAATAAAGAACATAGGCCATAGAAGTGTCAAATTAAAAAGCCCAACAAATCCAAAGAACATTGGAATATCCATTTTATCTTCATGATCTACTTTTCTCTTAAGAAACACAATGTAAGCTGCATAAAAAAATGCACTGACTAGAGCCAATATTATGGATGTAGGTATTCTACTAGCTTCTATAGTTAAATCTGAAAGACCAACTAAAACCTATGAAAAACAATGATGTTTAAAAATAATTCATTTCCATATTAAAGAAGCATTTCTATAATTATACATACTAGTCCAAGAATGCTAACAGAGACAGCAACTAGTTTAGACAATGTAAACTTATCTCCACCATTACTGGGAAAAAAAGCAGCAAGGAATAAAGTGAATAAACTAGAAGTTGATGTCAATACAGTTACAACTCCTGATTCAGTTTTTACTAATGATATTTGATAAGTATAATTTGCTATAAACCACTGCAATATAAAACATTTGTATTAAGTTTAAAACATAAATAGTTGCAATTTATTAAGTTGATACCTACAAATAAACAAAACATAAGTGCAATTTTAGCAACTTTCTGAACAGAAAACTTATTAGCTTGCCGTCTAGCATGTTCTCCAGCTCTTAAACTTGCTTGATAACTAAGTCTTGCCAATAATGCTTCTGTGGCATCACTTTCTGACATATGACGAACTTCTGCTAATTTACTAAATCTTACTGATCGTATTGATGAATCATCACTTTCTGTGCCTGAAGAACGATCACAATGGTCTGGTGTTTTTATTGGTACAAATGTTGGATCACTCTACAGTTGAATAGATTTGTATTATTATCAATGTTTAAGTTACTAATAATAAATTAATATGATTTGTGGAACAAAGAAAATATAAAAATAATAAAATACTAAAATATAAAATATAAAAATAATAAATTTCTATTTACCAAACTTGTGTTGGCTTCTGAATAGAAATTATCATCTTCCACATTAGGATCTATGAACTGCAATAGGAAAAAGAAATAACTAAAGATTTGATTTTGTTGAAAGAATTATTTGTATTTAAATATACCATATATGTTGCTGGTTTATTGCATTGATCCCTCCATGGAGGCCAAAAACATAAACCAAGCAAATAGAATGTAAACATTGATGTTTTTACATATGTAGTAAAAAATGGCTTTTCAAATGCTGCTTCTCTATAAATATACTGAAATATAAAAGAACATTATTAGAAGTAAACAGTATTTTACATTTTATTGAATAATATTTGAATAATTCTTACTTTAGTAAGTTCAGTACTAGAAACCCAAATGATATCAACTAATAACAATACTAACAGTCCCAACACAAGTCTCTGAGATTTATTCATCATTGCTGCAAGTTTATGAGGGTCCTCCACCATCCCTTGTTGTCTACGCTGTCTTAATTCTACAGAACAGCTCATGGTACAATCATTGATTTTATCTTTTCTATTTATGACAACATGATGATATTGATTGCTGTAAGATGATAATGTGATTAATATTTGATTAATATTTGATTAAAAAAAAAATTATTTGCATAAAATGAAAAGTTCATATTATTTAAATTGCTTATTGATCATTAAAACATTTTAATATTGAAAGTTAACAATATAAATACTTTTAGTTAACATTTCTAGAAAGCATAAGTAAATAATATTTAACACAGAGTATTTAATAAAATAAATACACAAATTATAATGTGCATAATAAACATTACGTATTAAATTAATTAAGTACACTATGGAGATAATACAAAAAATAGAAACAGGAAACAAGGAATTAAAAGAGGAGACAAAAAAATAATGTTCAAGGTTTCACTAATTTAATTGTCTTATTTTAACTATAAAGTTATATTTAATGATGTTCAGTATAATGTCGTGTAAAAGTTATGGAAAATACATATTTAAAAAATTATTTGTTGATGATATGATTGATAACAGGTGAACATGCGGCGAATATATAAAACTATGACCACATATAAGATAACCTATAAAAATTGCAATAAAGAATAGATAACAATCTTCCAATACACTAAGGCAAGAATTCAAAGTAAAATTGACTTACAATTAAAGCCAAGCCTTAATTCTGTGGCATTGGTAAGTAATTTACATTCTAGTTATTCTTCTACATTTTGAAATTATGAAATGCTGAGCACTCTATGCTCTCTAATTAAACACTGAAATAACACCTTTTACACAATATGTAATTTCGATTTTTTTTTTTTTAATTTCCAATAATTTCTTTTTATTTATACTTTTTTTTTTAAATATTAGATAGTTCTAACATCTTCGTTTCGTTATCGCGTCGGGACAACTAGTCGTAACCATGTTGATATACTGATGACGTTCCGTAGTTCACTCATCACTCCGATGGCGCTATATGTTTATATATCTTCTAATTTATTACTCATTTATTTTTACTTTTCAATGTTTAAATTCCCTTTCGTAGTTTCTTTATTTATATTTAAAAATTTAAATACTTTCTTTCTTATACCATGGTAATGTAGAAATATTTTTTGACTTTTATTGCACATCTTTATCTATATACATGATACATAAATGATAAATATAAGATAATAAAGATTGTTATATATTCGTGTTTAAATTTTGACTTTTAAATTTTATTATCTATGTTAAAGCATAAGGTAAACGCGGGAATGCGATCAATTCAGTAACTAATGTGTTATTTTCTACTTCGTAGAAAGTTATCGTAGAATGTTAACGATATCCTGTTGGAAAGGTAAATTTATTTCTTTTTTAATGTTTAAAAGAAAAGCTTCGTATTTACAGTTTTATTTTTCTCTTGAATTGACTTTTTGTAAAGCAGGCTTAAAACAACGGTTGTCATGACAAACAATAGTAACAACACATCAGCAAATGTGAAGTGTTGTTCGGATGTAATAGAATAATTTGAAACATATTTATTACTTTTGCATTCTAACAATGGCTAATAACGTTCTTAGTAATGGTCGCATTCAACAGCAACCGATTATCTCGCAACGACTGACAAGAAATGAGAAAGGAAAGAAAGGTATTTCTCTTTGTACAATATTATAAAGATTATTGTATGTATAAAATTCTTATCGCATAATATCAACAAATACGTTTACATGTATAATTTAAGTGATTTACATCTATAATTTGATAAAAGTTAGAGTCACAATTGTTAAAAAAAACATTTGCAAACACTGATAAAATTATAATTTCAAATTTTTTGCGAATACTCTTTTTTACATTTTCAATTGTAAAAAATAAACATTTTATAAAGGAGATCAAAAGATATTTTTCTAAGTTAAAATTCTTGATATAATTATATATACATATTTTTTTATGTTTGAATTAGTGCTAGAAATATCAGCGATAGAGAGCAAGAATTGGTTGTTACATCGACATTACACGCGACACGAGTATAAAACTTGCAAAATATTGATTGATCAAGAATTAACAAAATCGAACGGGCACAATGAGTATGCGAATTATTTAAAGGTAAGCAGAATTTTTACACCTATGTATCAATAAATCTTTAATATTCAGATATTGATATTGAAATTTTTATTTCCTTATTTTCCATAGGGTTTACTGCTGAGACGAGAAGGAAAAATTCAAGATTCGTTAAACAGTTTTCAAGCCGCCTATAACATTAATTCAACGAATGTTAATAATGTGAAGCAGATAGCTAAATCGTTGTGAGTAAAGGGAATTTAATTTTAATTATGCAATTTAAGAATGAGATCAGATGAGATTCAGATATCAGTGCAGAACACTATTCAATTTAATTGAATTATGTAAAAGACATCTATGATTTCATTTGAAATAAAAAAAATGATCTTAATTAACAATGTTTCTACGCGTGATATTCTTATTGACATAATAATACATGAGAAAAAAATCGAAGTTACTAAAAATTATAAATGTTAATTGTGATTAATACATTACCACGCTCTCAGAAAACATAGGAAATATTTAAGTATTTTTTACAATATATTAATCTTACTGATGTTATTTAATAGTTTAATAATGGGCAATCACAAACATGCAGTTGACGCATACTTGGAAGCTGAGAAGATATTAAAAACACCAGACTGGGAAATTTATTTTAACCTGGGTACGTATTAACTGTATTATAACATTTAAAAATAAATATAAAACTCTTTTACTTACAATTGATACTGTAACAGAAAGAATATTATAAAAGTTTATAAAAGTTTTTAATTAGAATAAGTCTGAGATAGTTTAATCACCAGATAGATTGCAGCGTTAATGTTTTTTATTGCAAATGAAAGTAAATGATTTTAATTTGTCGCGAAATATAATTTATTTATATGTTAAATAATAAATTCATGATCCAAATGATTCAAATCGTTTTTTTCTAGGTGAATGTTACGTAAAGTTGAATCAATTGCACGAAGCAAAAACGTATTTAAGAAGATCGATTGAATTGACAAAAAATGAATTACCATATATTCTTCTCGCGAGAATATGCCTTCTTGAAGATAATGTTACAGAGGCACAAAACGCTTATACAGCTGCTCTTAGGTATGTGATTATCATCTTGTCATTGTTTTTCACGTATTTTGTAATAAACACTCGTCTGATTTCACAAACATCTTACATGTGCAGATTTAATTCCAGCGTCGTGAGATTGGCGGCTGAAACGTTTACGATATATTCCAGAGTATTATGTTTTACCTCTCGTAACAAAATCTAATTATAGATCTCAGATTAAAAAAGACGCATACTAAACAAGAATAATGTAAATTGATGATTGATTACGATGTTAATTAACGTTATATTTTGTTGATTTTAATAACATTGATATATTGTTTTATTGAGCGTACATTTAAGATGATATCAAATAAATGGAAATTGTTGAAAAGTTGAAAATATGCTGCTCTATAGGCATTAAACATTTTTCATTTAATTCTTTAAAAAAGTAAAAAATAATAGAAAAGATTAAACATTTTTTTCAAAAAAGCATTGTTTTTGTGATATGCGGTTTCGCTTTCATTTGTTTCAAGGAATTTTGAAATATCGAATTGTGGTAAAAATGGTTCTAAAATATTCATGTAATAATAGAAACAATCGAATTATTACGTTATCTAGAATCAAAAATTCCTTGTTTGAAAACAGTTCATTCTATGAATAAAGTTTTTTTTCTTTACGATGTTCTCCTTAACTTAACTCATTTCTTTGGCCTTTTCAGTGAGAATCCTGAAAGCATAGAAGTTGCAACTGAATTAGGACTTCTCTACCTCAAAATTGGCGACGTTCAAAGAGCATTCCAACAGTTCGGCACTGCAATCGCTCATTCTCCAAATTGCACGAAGGCAATGCTACCAATAGCGTGGATAATTCAGGTAAGTACATTGCTTTTGAAAAATATCAACTATTATTAAATTTCAAAGAAAGGAGACATTGCTTTCGACAAACGAACTTATCTAATATTCTTGTCTCATTTTTCTTTACTTTATAAAAGCTATGTGTCAATATTAAATTAATAATATATAAAAATAATTTAATATAAACGAAAAGGATTTGAAACTGAACCCTTTGTTTTAGTAAGAAGTATAATAGCTTAAAACTTAGTCAAGAATTTTTCTTATATCCTTCTCGTGATTTGAATATATAAATTGTGAGATGTATATATAAATAACAAGTTTATTGTTAAGGAAATATATGTATATAGGAAATTCTATAGCAAACTTTCGGTTACAATGTACTTGTGATTTATTGATTTTAGCATCAGTGCGCGAATAAATCCGTAAGAATAAAATAAAGTATTACATACAGAGATAAAACGTTCACTCTTTAGAATCATCAAGAATATGATGTTGCGCTGTCGAAATACAAACTGGCAGCACAATCGATCCCAGAATCGTATATCTTATGGAATAACATTGGAATGTGTTTTTACGGCAAGCAGAAATTTGTTGCCGTAAGTACATTCGCATAAACTACTACTCGTTTGTATAATTCTTGTTTCAACACTTCTGACCATTATTATCAAGCTTGTAACACGGTCTAAGTTATTAAAGCTTAAAGATAAAATGAAAGAAAGTCAATCATAGTCACTTTCAGCGATATTATATTGCACAAAGTTAAAAAAGTAAAAAGAGCAAAGAACAAAGACACACTGAAAAAGAGAAAAAGTAGTATCGTGACACCATCTGCACTCTATCAAGACACGTTCGTAGAAATTAGAAGAAAAGGCAAATGTAGGCATTTTTTATTTGAGAATATACACAATATTCACGAAAGTGAATCCGTGCACGTTGTTGAATTTAATGATGAAAATTAATTCATTAAAGGAGTCTTAGAATGATGGCTGGAACTCATTTACGATCCAGAGGAACTCAATTAAAGTTTATAATGCACCGCTACAAGTGAAAAAAACGGCAAGAAATTAGAGAAATTCTAAGGGGAAAAAGAAACAAAAGAAAATGAAGGGAAAAGAGAAAATGAAATATTTTGCGCAAAGTATACAAGTAATCACTCTCCCTTTTAATTTTTATCGACCGGCAATAATTTGGAAACTGATATTTACCGCAGCCAATTTCTTTTTTGTCTAAAACTTCCCACTTTAACGCGGGAAAAGTAATTCAATAAACAGAATTAAACCGTGGACGTTGTAAAATATTTTCAAAACAATGGAGACTTTTAAATTTGATGATTAAAATCCGAGAAGCAGTGTGCACGGAGTAGAAGTTTCTTAATCTATTTCGCCGTAACTTGACGAGGAATGGGGTGAGGTCTCTCACGGGATGAGAGAAAAAAGAGCGTCGGGTCACACGTTTCCGCGGTTTGAGGAGTTAATTTTTATTATTTTTCTTGCGGGATCGGAGTCTCGATTGTATTTCTAACACAATCGAGAAAATTCAGGGGACATCTGTTGAAACACGATTTTCAATCTCGTCGATCATTTAGCTATGTGTTAATCGCTTTAAGATGCAACTGTCATTTGTCCTCGCAAAATATCTGCTTCGTAGTTGTCGTGGACAAATTGGTCGTAATTATTTCCAGGCAATTAGCTGCTTGAAAAGAGCTCACTACCTCAATTCCATGGCTTTTCTGCCCGCTTATAATTTGGGTATGGTTTTTCTGACCACCGGCCAACCAGCCTCGGCCGCAATTTATTTGTGCGCTGCAGTTAGTACCGACTCCAAAAATCCAATGCCGTATCTTCTACTTGGACGTAAGGGTTTTTGAAAAAAAATATTGTAACCTTCGATCTCGCGCAGAGACAGGTATAATTTCGACGAACGGAAGATAGTTACCAGCAATCAGATAAAATCTTTTTAAAGAGAAACAGTGATTAACTTCGACTACGTGTTATCAGCAAACATATTATCGTGACGAACATTTTATCATGACAAACACAATAAGTATATGTTACAATCGAGGAATTATTATTTGGTTTCAAATTCGTCATTTTTCAAGCTTACTCATTCCCGTCTATTTGTGTTTTCGTTCATGTATTTCTTTTTTATTTTCTACATTGAAAAAGAAGAGATATTCGCTTTCAATGATAACGCTTTCGACGATAACATCTGTATTAAATTTATATATAAAAAAAAAAAAAAAAAAAAAAGAAAGAAGAAAACGCTGGAGAGAAGAAAACGCTTTTTCAGCGATAAAAAGCAAGCTACTGTGTCATTCCTATGTAAGAAATTGTAATCGTATCCATTTCGTTTCGTCTTTCATCATCGTCAGCTAACACGATAGTGTGCGATAATAACGGAAAAAATCCAATTCTTTATTATTATTACAGTCGCTTTAAAGCGTCTAGATGACCTGGAGGGCGCGGAGAAAGTACTACAGAAAGCTCATGCTCTTTCACCGCAAGATCCTCTGATATTAATCAATTATGCGATAATATTAGAGACACAGGGCAAAAAAGATATTGCAGCTGAATTTTTAACAGCGCTAAATGATATTACGGCTGTGATTGATGTGGATCCACAGGCAAGTGTTTTCGACAGAGTAGAGAACGTTTCGCATTAATCCTCCTCTCTTTTTCTTACCTTTTATCTTTTATCGCAGATAACGCAAACTGCGAAGAAATTATTGATGAAAATTCAGTTGGAAAGAACGAACAAACAGGAGGAAGAACCAAGGATACTCAATTCAGACGAAGTCTGAATTTATTTGTTTGAAAAAAAAAAAAAGAATAATTCTGCCTCAAAAATTAGTTTATTAATATCTAGTCTGAACCTTTTATTCAGGCTTCGTATTTTATTTTAAATTTAAATATTGTTAATTAGGGGATTGCCAGAGGAATATAAATAAGCAAGGTGAAAGTAAATGAAAATGAAAACAATTAAATAGAGAATATAAATAAATAATGCGAATTTATTAAATAAAACAAATGTAAATCTTTCGTTCGGCGGAAAGGGGAATTTTAAATTTCAAAATATAATTTTTATATTTTCATTTTGGATACGTATCTCAATTTACTGAACTTTACTTTTTTCTCCTTTTTCATTCATTATGAATCCTTGCGCTGTTGAGTTTAATAGTTCAAGTGCCAAGGAGAACGAGTTTTCTTATTTAACTTGTTACACTCGTTGTATACCCAGTGGGTGCTGTTTCAAGATTGTCAAGGATTAATAGACACACATGAAGGCTATGAACAAAAGAAAATATATTGCCTTTTTTGCTGCTTATAGTTTAAGAATTATCGGTTCGTATCCTTTAGATACCGTAATTTCCATTTTCCATTTTCACCTTTTTCTTTGTAATCTTACTTTGTTGAACCATAATCCTGGGGATTAAGTCTTGATTAATTGCCTGTTTACTGTGCAAAACAAGTTATTCCAGTTTTCTTTGGACGATCTATTGAGTTCGCGTAATTAACAGGATACAATATATACTTCTTCTTCAAGTTGATATTTAGTAATATATATTTAGTTAATGGGTTGATTGTGAATACAAAGATTGTTTCTTTATGACAATAGATTCGCAGGTATGAATGACTAAGCTTAAGTAGAATGGACACGTCCAACCGGTTGAATAGTTACAGGATTGTAAATTGATGAAAATTTACAATGATCCTTTGCTTTTTTTCTCTCATGATAGCATTTGCGATTTCAGCTGGAGACATTTGACGATGAGATTTGTTCCCTTGCTCTAACAATAAGACTTGTTGAAGTTGAATTCAGCTGAAATTGTCAACCAGTAATGGAAAGAAATGAAAGTGAAATTTAAAGCTAAGATAAAAGGCGAGAAACAAAGGAGTTTCCTTTAAATAAAGGATAAAAGGAATTTTAAGATATTTAAATACAGGAGAATTTTAACTACTCATTGTCAGTGAATTTTAGGAAATGCTGTCAGAAAGGTACATCTTTTCTTTTGGTTTTAGAATAGATAAATATTGAGTTATTGTATATGAAGTCCACAACCGTGTAAAATTATACGGAATTTAATCCTTTTTAATCTTTTCTATTCTTTAATCTTTCTTCTATTGCAGAAATGATTTTACCATTCTTTCCATTTCTTCCGTCTACTTTTATAAAAGTATTATAATTTTATCGAATATTGTATTGTCAACATTTTTTAATGTGCTGTCTTTTTTAATGATATTTTCAATATTGTTAGTAAAAAGTTCTTTACAGCTTCCTGTAGTGTTCGAGCAAGTTTTATAAAATTTAAAAATTCCATATACGTGTTTCTGTGAAATCACTAGCTAAAAGCTTACTTTAGTAAATTATTCAACACTACAATGAAATTGTCGATTAGTCACGAAACCGAGCAGTAGGAACTCAATTTGGAACTTTGTCTCGGAGTGAAAGGAGGATCACATGTCGTGTTCCCAAGCATCGGGAAAGTTGAATTATGCTCAGAAAACGAAAGTGTCAGCTGGAACTCATTAAAGGGTGAAAATTATAATATGCTGAGACATTTGCCTTTGTAGTTACCTTTGAAAGAAGACAAAGGAAAAAGACAAAGAAATCTTGAACAAGACTTGATTAATATTAATCACGATAAATCATATCAAAATACTGGAATGGACCTATCTGAATTTATCTGTAAAAAATTAATCATAATGATTTAAGTCATTCATATTCGAGCTACGAAAGAAGAAAACAGCTGTTCCTTTCCCAAGAGTACTGTGTAAAATATTTATCATGCTCATCGAAACACTTAAAATTTCCATTTAGACGAAATTTTGTTTCTATAGTTCGTTCAAAAAGTTTATGGAATGGATGATAAAAAAGTTTTGAAAATTTCTTCCAAGCGTGCAGTTTGCTACGAATATTTTGTCAATTCAGATCGTGATTCCTTGAAATTAATAATTAATGATTAACATCTACATATCGATGTGTTTCATTTCAATTCACGAATTCGTGTCAGGTTCTCTGTTAAATAAAACGATTATTATTTACATTTACTTACATGATGTAGGAGCTCAACTTACACAATATCTACGATCACGGTAATTGTGGTATATTATAAAAAGTCTTCCGTTCAGCAGACGCGATACTTATCGAGGAACGCGTGATATATATCTTGTAAATTCTATTTCAAATGCCGACTATCACGCAAACAGATCCACTGGATACCGATCCCCTCATAATATCTGCCTATCAGATCACTTTCGTTTCTTTCAATTTTTAGTGAAAGTTTCAGTGTAACGTGGAACTTTGCCTCGACAACCTTTGACCTATCCTCGTAACTAAATATTTTATTGCTAATCATTCCCAATGACTAGCTATTTTTTGACTTATGGTTTGTTAGTGGTATGACAATCATTGTCACGTTAAATATTTATTTTTAACAAGTACCAGGTACTCTCGTTTATCGTCTGTTTCCGACTATTCTTCGATTTTTCTTCTATTTTTCTTTCCAAAAATCCAATCCACAGTCACCATCAATAACGTGGAGAAACGTTTACATCGTTTTCGAGAAGGATGTCCAGGATGTTCCCTGTCATACTGCTGTCTTTGGTCATCCTGTTCCGTGTCGTTTGCGAATTATCCCTGCCGAATGGAACGGACTCGGACATCATCTACTCCAACATATATCCTTTTTTAGAAAAATGGTCCAAAACCAGTCACACGAAGCTGCTAACCGTGGTATACGATGATTACGATGATCATAGTGCTTTCGATGTCCCTCGTGGCGTTTCAGTTCGTTTAAACGTGTCCACGAAACTAGTCAGCCTGAAACATCTAATATCTTTGAAGTATAAAGACGTGAGACATAATTATCCCACGATAGAGACCGAAAGTTGCGTGTTATTACTGTTCTCGAGCGTGGATCATCTGAGAGATATCCTCAGTTCTCCGTACTTGACCACGTTCTGGCATCCAGAGAATTTCTATATTCTTCAAGAGCAGAGACGACGAGCCATCAATTTGTCCGAGCACGAGAGATTCTGTAAGTGGGCGTTCGAGAAACTCTGGAGGTTTAGGAGGGTTTACAAGCTACTTTTTCTCGCCAATGACAAAACGATTCGATACGATCCCTTCGATTATGCCGCTCGCCACATCAGGCATTACGTTAACAATGCCAATTGCGACTGGCACTGTACCAAATCGGAGGACGATTTTCTGTTAATCAGCGAACCAAACGACACCGATATATCGGGCATGTTCGTCGAGGATAGAAGGGACTTCAAATTGTTCCCCCTGAAGATCTCCATCTTCGAAACGAGCACGATGATCTTCCAGAATGGCTATTTCTCTGGACTGGACTTCAACTATCTCGAGGAAGTATGCAGAATGATGAACGTGACGCACGTTTTGATACGATCGAAGGACAAATTCGGCTGGGAAGAGAAGGGTGCATTTTTTGGGACCATCGGACACTTGGTCTACGGGTTCGCGGACGTGTCCTTCAACGAGTTCTTCGTAAAGGACTATTCAACCAGACAGTTGGAGTTCACGACCTCGATCACCAGTGACAAATTGTGCGTTCTCGTCCCGAAAGCTCCGCCAGTGCCTGATTACCTGGTGATGGTCAAGATCTTCACAGGGAAAGCCTGGTTGTTGGTGTTTGCCACGCATTTCGTCATCTCGATGATTTACACGATCTTGAAGAACAAGAGAAATCAGAAGATCTTCGCGGCCATTCGACAAGGCGGAAGAGCGTTTTTCTGCTGCGAATATCCCGTTGATACGTACTTTTTAGAAGAGATTGTTCCAAAGATGACGGAAAAAGCACTGCACAGCAAGGTATACGGGTGAGTATGTGCTGAAAACATAGAATACATCTGGCTATCAGGTCGTATTTGTTTTTGAAGTGTATCATCAAAGGAAAAGGGCGGATTGAGCAATTATAGCGGATCATCGAGAACCATTTTAAATAAAATGTAAATTGCCTGCGAAAGTAGAAGGCGAATGATAATAGCTCGAGCTTCTATCGTAAAAAAGATATATACGTGTATGTATATGAGGTGGTTTTCGCAAAAATTGCAAAAGACTGTTCAAAGTCTTCGTTTACAAGGAGCAGATCCAGTAATCGAGCAGAAAATGATTTTAAACGGAAAAATAAATCGAGAAGAAAGAATAAAATTTCTTCGTTTTCGAGAAAATCAAGTTTAGAAAACATTTGAAAGATGAGTTGCAATAAATGGACACATTTGACATATAAATTTTCATTTATATTACATACAGTTTGTATTGCTTTGTTCCTGCTATGATAAATATGGAAGCAATATTTCCGACAATTGATGTCAAACAAACACACAATGTATTTCAAAATTTAATATAGCAGCTACGCGTTTATTAAAACGTTTCCAACTCTTCGAATCGTTTCTAATAAAGTCTCCAATAAGCCAGATTACTCTTGAACGTTAATTTCGCCATTTGAATATAATCTATGTATTTCTACAATTTTCAATATCCATGAGCTCTGATCACAACATAGAAGAACAGACAATAAAAGAATATTGGAATTGTTTGTCGCTCTAGGTATCCTCGTCTTGCTAACGGAATTTGCCTGTTCGAGAAGAAGCAAAACATCTGGCCGATAATAAAAACGAGGAAGGATAATTCGAAGCGATTCAATCGAGTGTTTCTGTCCTTTCTCAAGTCGTTTGGAAGGTATTTCTCAAAGGTTGTATTTCAACTGATGCAACCCTTTAAATTGGGCCAGCCTTGGTTCCCCGAGAGATTATTGCTGATGTGCAGTTTGCTTCTTAGCTTGATCCTCAATGGGATTATCACTTCTCAGCTTGCGTCTAGTTTCAGCAAAAGGATATATTACGAGGATATCGATAGTTTGGAGCAGCTGGAAGAAAGTGGTAATATTTCATTTTGTTCGTATTCCGTCTTATATCATCTATTTTATATTCATATTTTATTCTGTCTCTATTACAAAAAAATTATTTTCATTTAATTTCTTTAACAATATGTAACATCGTCTAACTTAAAAGTTATACATATATCTATATCTTGAAGATTTTGTTTTGTACCACGTCAGTATATTATTATAAAAACATAAAATAACTTATCTACAAGTAAACTGCAAATGTCTATGCATTTTGGGGGAAATTTAAGGATATGAAGATTTAGTATGAAAGAATAAAGAAATATTCAAAGTTAAATATTGAATATGAATTCTCGTCTCAAGGTTTTGCTTAGATTTTTTTTTTCCAGTTATGTTCAAAATTGCATCAACATCCTTATCTATTATAAAGATTTTAATTAATTAAAAATCTTTCTCTCCTGTAAATTCTGTTTATAAAAAGGCTACAAACGAATTTATTAGTTCCATAAAAAGGTAATTATTCTCAACTTTTCAATTGCACAACAAATTTGAAATAATGTACACACACATTTGCTATTGCACCTTTGTTTCCATTTGGAATTATGCTTGGCAGGTCTGACGATCTTGACAGACGCGAAAGATATTATAAGCGACGCGTTCACTGATGTCACATCGCCATTGATCAAACGATTGAACAAGAGATTAGAATACGCAAACAATACGGAAGTTAATAGAAGATTATTCGAGACGAAAGACGCTGGTTATCTTCATCGATTCTCGACTCTGTCGTTGAAATACAACGAGAATCAGAGGGAGAGACTACACGTCGTCAAGGAATGCCCGAAGGAGTACATCCTCGCCATTATAATGACAAAAGGTTCACAATATTAATGATTGTTGAAGTATAATTTTTCTCACTACATCGCGCGAATAAAGTGTCGAACTATCGAACTAATTTTCACTCCTGAAGATCCGTACAGTAAATCAGTTCTTCCGATTCCGATACAAACGAGTTAAGCGAATTTACACATGTGTTGATTCATGCGTTAATTTTTGATCATTCACATAATTATCTTTCAAAATTCTGACGATCCCGACAGAAGTTTTGATTTCTGTAACTCTGGTTATGGCTTCACCATAGATGTGGTAGGAAAAGGTGATGCATATCAAATAGCAATCAGCGATTCGAAGGACGAGAATATCGTTCGTTTATATGAGTTTGGTGTTGATGTGAGTATATGACACGCAAATTTCTAGACTGCGGATTTTCATACATTTTAAAATGTAAAGAATGCATATAATTTGAAGAAATATGTATAACAAATACAGTACTTTTTATATTTGATACACAAGATAATTTTCTATTTTACATTTCATTTCATTCTCTATCTATTCTATTCTTCATCTCTTTATCTCTTATATTCTCAAGAATATGAGTCTGCATAAATGCAAATTTGAAACGCTAATATGGAAATTTGAAGTTCTAACATTCCATATCTTAATTAATGATAGATAGAGGATTTTTATGAGAAATTTGAAGATACGCAAAATATACATGAAACATACAACGTAGAATAATTTGTTACAATATTTAACAGACGAGACAAATTTCTACTCCGTTTCTACGTTTTCTTTCATGTTCATGAAAAATTTTTCAAACGCTTGAAAATTCGCAATCCATTCAAATTCAAATTTGCCGAACGAGATAAATCGATTTCAGAACTTTTAAAAAATGCAGATTCCGTGTAAATTTGAATTTCTTATCGAAATCCGCGTTCGTGTTATAAACCTGAATAATGCTGTTAATCCTCTGCATGGTATATTGTAGTACATAATATTACTGTGTAACAATAGTACGTAGCTTGCAAATCGTGTTGTTCGTCAAATCGAAATTTCTGACTGTGAAATGTAATTGTGTTGTTACAGGGTCTCCATATAGTGGTCGTATAAATAGGATCCTTTCCCGACTAAACAACGGTGGTTTCTATGGGAAATGGTATCAAAGCATGTATCATTTGCAAAAACGTCCGGAACAAGTAACAAATGGTTCAACGTTGCATAGGAGGATCACTATCCGACATTTATTTATTCCGTTTGGGATACTATACGTAGGACTGACTACAAGCATAATCGTATTTATCTACGAGTGGCAGCAAAATAAAGATTTCGATAACTAACGTTGTTCTTAGAGGAATGCGTTTGATATGACTGAACGAGCTAGAAGTAAAACGGCACTCTGTATCACTAATTTTCCTATACAATTGAAATCTTTAGTCCATCATCGTCAATAATTTGATTTTGTTTTTTTTTGTTAAGACTTACATTATGATTTGTGAAAGAAACGTAAACGTGTGATTATGTGAATATGAAAGTCAATATCGATTAATCACGAAGAATCAGGGAACGTGGAGGAAAAGAGGGAGCGAATCTTTGGTACTCAATTAGCTAAGAACAAGAATATTCAGTCAAATGATCTGTTACACTTTCGACGTTTGACGTAGAAGAGTGCGTAGAAAATTGCGATGAAGACGTTCGTTTGATTTGCCCTTTTCAAAATT